ATTTAAGGGAGTTAACATAGGCTTTATCTATAGGGACTATAACGAAGACAAATTGAATAACACAAGAACAAAATTCACAATAAACATACTGTAGGGACCCTAATAAAAAAACATCAAAATATAAGAACCAAATCCACAATAAAACATACCGTAGAGACCCTAATAAAAAAATCAAAATATAAAAACCAAATCCACAATTCACTCTTTAAAAAACAACAAAATACAATTCAATTACATGTATTATAGAAATTAATTCAAAAAAATTAATTTTTTTGATGTATTTTTGATTTTTGAGAAAACTATTAATTAGTTYGTCGACCAATTGTTTTTTCTATTTCCGGCTAGGGTTCTAGATCAGTCATGATTCACCGTCATCCGCCACGATCATGTCGGAATATTTGAACATAAAAAACCAGAGGTGGATTTATAATTTAACATGATCTTCGTGTAATTTTCACCCAAGAAAATACTGAAATGAATCAAATTCCATAAAGTAACAAATTAAATGCTCAAATYTTCATCCTATCTACCAATGTAAATTAATTCAAGGGAAAATTAAGGCTCGAATTAAGCTTGTGAATCGTTCGTCTCATCCTCATTCTTGCCGGATATCTACTCCCACGACTTGCCTTTGGATTCCGACACCATCAACACAAAGTTCCTAGAAAGTTGATCACCCCCAACACGACCAGAGTAGTCAATTCTTGCCTTACATTACTACAGGAGATCCTAACCTCAAYCGAAGGCTAGCCCTAACTATAGGCCATGAGGGCGGCCGCCATATATATGCAACACAAGCTAACCCAAGGGGAATCACTTGCGCAATCAGCGTTTAGCTTACGTAGGTCAGCCAGTAGTAAATTTTTGGAGTCATCGCATTTGAACCTCCGTAGTTAAAGGGGATTTTTTTGTTAATATTTGTCGATCTTTTACTTTTATAATTTATATAAATCAATCACATTTACAAATCGATTACATTTCGAAAAAGAAAAAGAAAAGCTGTGGGTGATGCAAATAAAGACGATGGTGCCACCGTTTCATGAACAAAACCAGAACCCCACTCACCCTTGAGGTGTTAACCCAACGTCCTTCCATGGCATGCAACCTGCAACTTGTCTCCATTTTTTCTGACACCATTTCCTTATGTGTCAACCTCTCCTCCACCTTCCTCCTCCTTATATACCCATCGCCACCCACTCCATCTTCAATTCACCACCACCATGGCAGCTTCCTGCAACTTCCTCTCTCTTTCTTTAACCTTCTTGCTCTTCTTCCATGGCTGCTGCCTTGCTCTCCAGATGCAAAATGAGTGCCAGATTCAAAGAATCAATGCTCTTGAACCCAATCAACGTATCCAAGCTCAAGCTGGTTACACCGAGTTGTTCGACTCCAATAACGAGCAATTCCAGTGTGCCGGAGTTGAGGTCGTCCGCCACCACATTCAACCCAAAGGTCTTTTCTTGCCGTCGTACACAAACGCCGCGATCCTGGTCTATGTTGAACAAGGTACTTAGCTATTTCAAGAATCGTG